TCTGAAACTATAAGCCAGAACCCAACTGAATGTTTTCTTTCATAAAAGTCACCTTGGTCATGGTGTCTCTTCACAGAAACAGAGCAGTGATTAAGACAGCCACTATTAGAAGATGTCATTTATGGCTGTTCTACCCACTTTAAAAAAAAAAAAAAACTCACATCATCAGGGGCTCATCTTTATCCAGATATCCCCTCATATACATTCTCAAGGGCTAGCCTTTGTCTAGATAACCCTACACAGTTTTGGAGGCTTATCTCAGATCCAGTCAAGTGGATATCCAAGGTTAGCCATTAGGGATACAGATGTCCAAATGACACTTAAACCCTTAAAGGACAGTGCTGTTGTGATGTCATATTTTAAGAAGCCTCCATGAGTCTCAGAAAGAACTCACAAGAAAACAAACAAAAGCTGACACCACAAGATGCCTGTGGGGTTAGGAAACTAAGGAGGCTATAAGAATGGAAGCTATAATTTTTATTGTATTTTTTACCTTTTTTCCCTATGGGTTTGTTTTAATGCTCTGAAGTTTAAAAGTCATATAAATGAAGAATAGTAAGATACCTTTTCAATAAAATTCTGTATAACAAGGAGAGTTACCCAGAGCTCCTAGGTTCAGACATCATTTTAACTTCTTGCTATTGTTTTTTCAAACTGAAATGAAGCTTACATACAATGAACTCCATGGACATTGCGTTTACATGTAGTGGATTCATCAAGCATATATCTGTGTGAATAGTACCTCAGTAAACATGCAGAACAGCTTAGTTACCCCAGAAAGTTTCTTCAAGCTGCTGAGCAAATCTCAGCCATTAAAAGACAGTGCTGTACTGACCCCACGTTCTAGAAAGAAGACTTGAAAAACACTGGAACACTACTATTCATGTGGACCCTGATGCTCTATGATTAATTTACATCGCCCTTTCTTTTTGGGCTTAGTTTGGTTTTATGAGACATAGTGTAATATGAAAAAGTTCTGACTGGCCTAGAACTAATTTTGTCCTTCAAGTTAGTCTAAAACCTGTGGTAATCCTCCTGCTTCAGCCTTCCAAGTGCTAGGAATTTCAGGCATGAGCTGCCACATTCCATCTAATACTATATTTTTTTTATTACTTCCTGGGTAGTTAGGGTTCTGTGCATGGATGTATCCTATTGTCTATTGAAATGCAAAGAGATTTAAACTGTCACCATTTCTTAGATATTATGTATAAAAAGCACTTATGGATACTATCATCCAAGTGATTTCTGCATATCTGTTTTTATTTCTTTAAAGAAAATGCCTAGGAACAGAATTATGTAATGATAAGGTGAGTTCAAATTTAGCATTGTAAGAAATTGTGTAAGAGTTCTTAGGGTACCTTTGCAATTTCACACTTCCACTGTCTACAGAAAAGAGCTCTCATTTCACATGCTCCCCTAACACTTGTTTCAAGGCCTAGCAGACAAGTTCAAATGTTTCCAAGCAGCTGGCCAGAGCCCTTTTGTCCAACTCAGAAACCACAGGTGGGCAACAAGCAGTTGTCAGGTCTGTAACCATTGACAGTAGATGGGTCCAGTAGCAGGCAGGAGCTGCTGTGAGACATTTGCACACTGTGTGAAGATATATTACTGTGACTGGCTTTACTTTATTAAGCTGAACAGCCAATAATGAGGCAGGACTTTAGAGCACAGAGAGAGGAAGTAGGAGATGAAACTAGGTGAGCATAGGATACCAAGGAGACATGAAGGGAGCAGGACATACAGAGTGGAAGAAAGATAAAAAGCCACTGAGCAAGACAGAGATTAATATAAATGGATTAATTTGAGTAATAAGAGTTAGTGGGACATGCCTAAGCTAAGGCTGAGCTTTCATAATAAATAAGTCTTGGTGTCATTCTTTGGGAGCTGGCTGGTGGCACAGAGAAAGACTTGCTACAGGTAGCCTCCACTAGTATAGTTCTTGTGCAGGTCTCTGGCAGCAAGACTCTTAACCCTGCCAGTGTTGTGACCCTTAGGCAGCCCTTAGGTGTTGTGATAAACCTTGAACAAACTCTGCAAAACTCTGACTACAGAGCTTTTCTCCCTTGAAGCTTGCTGGAATTCCCTGCCCCCATGTTTAGACTCCTGTCTATTGCCAGGCATGATGGTGCATGCCTTTGATCCCAGCACTCAGGAGGCAGAGGCCAGTCTTCCTACAGAGCAAGTTCCAGGACATCGGAGGCTATGCAGAGAAACAAACAAACAAACAAACAAACAAACAAAAAACCCACACAATAAAAATCCTCCAGTCCTTTCCACCTCCCTGTCATTGCCAAACTCAGTTTTCCACTATGACCCTGTATCCTGATAGCCTATGCAAGGCAGCTTCTAAAGATAAAACCAAGCTTGTCTGGATAAACAATTCCAGAAGGGAGAAAGCACAGACTTGTATGTAGCTCCAACAGTTGCATTCCCCACCCCACCCCCATATAAATCCCAAGTATCCTCTTCCTCTTTTTGAAGACACCACTTCCCTACTGCGCCTGCCCCTCACTGAAATAAACAGTTCCTTCTGTTGAGGTCACACTGGTCTCTTTCCTGCCTCCTGTCTCTCTAAGCTGCCTCAGAAATTTAACACTGGGTAGCAGAATCCTTACTCCTACAAGTTCCACAGCTCTTGTGTATGTCTGCAATACAAAGATCCTTGGCACTACAAGGATTACAACTCTTTTATAGGCCTAGAAAATCAAGATACCTTAGCCTTGGGCAGTAGCGAGCACCCAAGACTCTGAGTAGGCAGATGTCCGGTTCCTTGCCCTTTGCTAATTGCCAGTTTGGCAGCTCCTGGGAGACCATTGGCTCCTTAGAACTCATGAACTCTTCCAGCTACCAAGGCCTGTAATAAAAAATAATTGTTATTACATTAGAAAAGTTGGAGGGAGAGAAAGAGGGGGAGGGGAGTGTGTGTGTATGCATGTGAACACATGTGCCACAGTGTGCTTTGAGAAGTCAGAGAACAACTTATAGGAGTCATGTGGGTCACAAAGACTGAACTCAGGGCTTCAGTCTTTGTAGTAAGCACCTTTTACCTAAGTCATCTCACTCAGCCACCCTGTTTGGTTCTTTACAATATTCTATCCCTCTTCAGTTGCTAAGAAACCAGCCATTAGAAGAAGAAAAGAAGGAAGGAAAGGAGGGAGAGAGGGAGGGAGGGAGGGAGGGAGGGAGGGAGGGAGGGAGGGAGGGAGGGAGGGAGGAAACTAGCCATTTTTACCACTCTTACCTCTCAGCACTGCCTTTTCAGCTGTCAAGCATCAGACTACTTCCATGGCTTGCTGTGCTGGCTGCTCAGCTGTATCTTGCTGGTTTTGCCATTGCTGTGGCTTCACTGATCAGCTTCCAGAAGTGGGCAAGAAACCACCATTGGAAGGAAGCCTTTTGTTGGGTTTGAAGTTGCAGCATCAAGGGGTGCAATGAAGGGGGGTCGATCCATGCTAGCTCACCAACTGAGCAGCCAGCTTCTAAAGCCAAAGAACTGGTGTTTGCACTCGTCACAGCACAACCTCACAGGTAAATGAAGGGATGTTTGCTCAGCATCTTCCCTTTGGGCTGAGCCACCAGGGGACGTGCTCCCTTTCTGACCTAAGTAGAAATGGTTACAGGTTCACTTTGGGTACACAAAGGCTGTGATAACACAAAGTCTTACAAAAAGTGTTTAAAGCCACCCTAGTTGGGGCTGCACTTTAAGAAACCAATGCAAACACCTTGTGCTCACTGTGGTTCCCCCCCCCCCCCAGGTGTCTGTAGACAGAAGCCAATGGCAGTGTAAGGATAGTCCATCTGGCTGGTGCCTGGCAGTCCTTACTCAAGGCATAAAAACACAAAGGGATAGACTAATCGCTGCCAGCTGGGAAGTCAAACTCGCCATGCCCTGCTGTTTCTGCTTATTACTGAACAATAGTTTTAACAGCACTTTACCAGTTAACATTTGATCACCAAAGAACGGTGGGTCTTCCTCAGTTGTCCCTCAAAGACAGTGGAGCAAACAGTTAGATGTAAAGGATATGGTAGAAACAGAGAATCTCTAAAACTGCTTTTCCCTTCTGTCTGGATGGCTGACTATAGAAAAGGCTGTCTCTAGTTGAGGATGAAGAAAAGCATTTAAGAGGTCCTGGGTTAAATCCCTAGACTCCTAGATAAAAAAAAAAAAAAAAAAAAAAAAAAAAAAAAAAAAAGTAATGAATTCTCTCTTCCGCATTTCATTCTCTCCTTCCATTTCTTTTTCTCCCCTTCTCTTTCCTTCTGTTGTAGGACAAAGATTTGGAGAGTCACTATCAATTGCCATTCTATAGTCTCTTATATATGAAAGTAAAAGAGGTGAGCAAATTCTCACACATCGTCAAAAGATAAAAATAATCGCATTGCTCTGAATTGTGTAAACATCTGTTGTTGTCATCATTATTATGCTCATTATAACTTAGATTCATACATAAAACTTTGTACAGGGCTGAACATATAATTAGTGGTACAGTAGATATTTAGCATAAAGGGGACCCAGGGTTTGGTCCCAGAAGTCCCCCAAACATGCCAAACAATCAAAGGTGTGTGTGTGTGTGTGTGTGTGTGTGTGTGTGTGTGTGTGTGCGCGCGTGTGTGTGTGTGCACGCCACGTATGTCCCTGGTGCTCATGGAATTCAGAAGAGGGAGTTGTATCCCTCACAACTAGAGTTATTGATGGCTGTGACACACGAGGAACTGAACCTGAGTCCTCTGCAAGAGCAACAAGGGTTCTTAACCATTGAACCATCTCTCCAGCCCCACATATTACACGTTTGCAGGATGACTTATGAATGAGAAACGCCCCACCGCCCTCTCCTCTCCTACAGTGTGAGCTCTGAGATTCAGTGCTGGTCGGATCACCAGAGACCGGAACCCAAAACCTGGGCAGTGCAACGACGCCGGAGCTTCTTTTTGCCTGCACAGAGGCAGGAAGTGGCGAGGGCGGGGCCGGCGCTGCGTGGCAAAGTCTTTAGGTTAGCTAAAATGTTGCTCGACTTGTCCGAGGAGCATAAGGAGCACCTGGGCTTCCTCCCGCAAGTGGACATCGCAGGTAAAGAAGTGCGGGGTGCTTGCGGCGGGGACAGTCCCAGGGACAGCCCGGCGCTCACGACCTGCTTACTTCCGTTGCAGTGGTCGCAGAGTTCGGGAGAATCGCGGTGGAATTCCTCAGACGCGGGTCTAACCCGAAGATCTACGAAGGCGCCGCCAGTAAGAAAGGGAGGAGACAGGCAGCCTGTTGGAGTGGAAAGTGCTCTATACCTTCTTTTTCACTCAGTCCGGCGGGAACCTTTGCAAGTCCTAGGATCTTGTACCCATTGCAGCCTATTAAAAACCCGCATAGCTGTCAATCAGGGCGCCACCTCTGCAAGTAACTGTGAGATTTTAAAGCTTGTATGAAACGAGTGCCCTCACATTTAAAACGAATATAGTTCCACCTTCCTTTCAGAAACACTACCGTGCTTAGTAAGTACTGCATGCTCAAGAAGATTAGCCGAGAACATCATTCAAGTGTTCAGTTAGTATTTGCTGCTAAAGCTGGAGGAGGATGGTGGTGTGATTAGGAACACCCCCATTGAGTTCCTCTTCTGCCTGGCTTGAAGGGGCCTTGTCTCTATTCACAGGTCTGTGTCTTGTTATGGTTGGTTGGAGAGATATATTGAAGGTGTCTGTTAGTGGTGTGGGTTGAGAAGGAACGGGAATCTCTGCTTAACTCACTTTGATTGTGCTGTTTGAGGATAGGGTAATTGAACGTGTTTATTTTTAAACAAAAGAATAATCTGTTCATTTTTTCCTTAGGAAAACTCAATGTGAGTAGTGACACTATCCAGCATGGTGTGGAAGGGTTAACATATCTCCTCACTGAGAGCTCCAAGCTTATGGTAAGGCCTCCCAGAACTGTATTGTGTTAACCAGGTTCTTTCAGACAGGCGCTTCTATAAATTAGTAACGATAATCGAATTTGTACAGTATACCTAAAGAGTGTTAAGGCACTATCTAATGTGAATAATATTAGTAACTCATAATCAAATTTGTGCGGTATACCTGAATGGTAAGTGTTATGGGCATTTTCTAAAAATACGAATACCTCTTGCTAATATAAATTACAGGTGTCTCTAATTCTGTATCATATGGCATCATATATTCATCCTAAGATAGGGGAGAATGAAATATTGCATTTCTTTATGGATCAGCAGACAGTATCTGGCTTGATGAAAAAATAGTAAATAAAATTGAGCATCTTAATGTTTGTTTGTTTTTCAAGACAAGGTTTCTTTGTGTAGCTTTGGAGCATGTCTTGGAACTATCTCTGTAGACCAGGCTGACCTCGAACTCACAGAGATCTGCCTGCCACTGCCTCCCAAGTGCTGGAATTAAAGGTGTGTGCCACCAATGCCCAGCTTCTTTTTGTATTTTAATAAGGTTATTTTGTATGTTAGTAACTTGGATTTTGGAATGGTGGGCAATAATTGTCTTTAACTATAGGGAATGTTACAGACAGATGTGAATTATAGGATATAATGCACTTTTGTGTTTGGAGATGTTTTAGCATTTACTAGACAAAGATAAACTCCAGTATTCTCTTGAACTCAATCCATCTTTAGATTTCTGAACTGGATTTCCAAGACTCTGTTTTTGTTCTGGGATTCTCTGAAGAACTGAATAAGTTACTACTTCAGCTTTACCTGGACAACAGAAAGGAGATCAGAACTATTCTGAATGAGTTGGCACCTCGCCTTCCTAGTTACCATAGTCTTGAATGGCGGCTAGATGTACAAGTATGGCCTTTTTTTTTTCTTTTTTAATCTGACATAGACATTAAGAATTATTTATATGCTCTGTTATTTACAAGCTTACCAAGCTCTGGTTTGAAAAAAAAAATGTGTATATTTTAATGGTCATTGTGGGTCATTTCACAAATAGCTTATTTCCTTTTATTTCTAATATAATTTGAGTTTAATTTTTAAAGGTTTTTAAAATTTATTTTTATTACACGTATTTATTTTATGTATGTGTCTGTGCATGGCACTTGTGTTGAGCTCAGAGGACAGCTTTTGGAAGTTTGTACTGAGGGATTGAACTCAGGTTGTCAAGCGTAGTAGTAGGTGCCTTAACCCATTGAACCATCCCAAAGGCCCTAATTTCCACAGGTTTTTAAGAAAAAAAAAAGTGATTTGAAAACTTGTTTGGTTTTGCTTAGTATTTCTAAAGAGTCATTCCTCTGTAAACAGAACACTCCCAACAGAAAGTGTACAGGTTACTGTACTCAATAAATTATCACAGTCACATAGTCATAAAATGGAGATGACCATGACTAGCACCCCAGAGATATCTTTACATACTACCACTGATTGGTCCTTCCCTCCTTTCTAAATGTAACCAGCATCCTAAGATATGACACATGTTTTTTGTTTAGCTCATATTTAGCCGTGTACATATGCAGTGATCGAAGCGACACTCATCTGTAGACTATAGTAGTCAAAATGGGTTACAGACATTTGGTAAGAGTTTAAATGTAGCATAGCAGACACTAGGAAGACTGTGTAGATTCTTTGATAAACGTGTAACATTGAAGTAGTTGTTTAAAAAAATAAATTTGGTATCTGTAGATGGAGACTTCTCCATCTAATCTCAATCCCTCCCTAGTGTCTCCCTAACTCCTCCTTTCTGTTTGTATCCATGTGGATTTCCTGCCTAGCTATATTCTGCCCTGCCATAGGCCAAAATAGTTTTATTCATCAGCTAATAAAAGCAACACATATTTGCAGCATACAGAAGGACATCCCACATCAGGGTATCCTTGGATGAATCAGAACAAAAGTGGGAATTTAGAAGTATAAAGAATCTAGACCTTTATAATCATTTTTCGCCTTTCTATATGATATGCCATTTTTGTCTTACTATTACCTCTTTACTCATTTCCTTACCTTTTTAATTGAAGTGTATTTATTTATTTGTTTTATCTGGGGGTTGGGCAGGGTTTCTCTGTGTAGCCTGGCTGTCCTGGAGTTCATTCTGTTGACCAGTCTGGCCTTGAACTTTTGATGTGTGCCTTTTTATCCTGTTTAAGGAATCTTTTCATACCATGAGGTTTCATTTACAGTCGCAGGTTTTTTTTCTTTCCAAAGGTTTTAAAGTTTACTTTTCATTTCAAAATGTGTGATTCGTCTTAAATTATATTTTTATACAGTATAGTGTAATATTAAAAGTTATCAATGCAGCATAATTATGAAATACTTATTGTGGGTTTTGTTTTGTTTTGTTTGTTTCTAAGCTTGCAAGCAGGAGTCTCCGGCAACAAATTAAACCAGCAGTGACTATAAAGCTGAACCTCAACCAAAATGGGGACCACAGCACCCATCTTTTGCAGACGGACCCAGCTACCCTACTTCATTTGGTTCAGCAGCTGGAGCAAGCATTGGAGGAAATGAAAACAAACCACTGCAGGAGAGTAGTCCGCAGCATCAAGTAGCTTCAAGGTTCAGTTGGCGATGCAGAGATTGCCCGTAGTACATCTGGGTTTCAGGGACTTTTTTTTTTCTGGTTCAGGATGTTAAAATCTTGATTAGAAGCTAAAGTACAGTTCCTTTCTGGTGCTAAATGCAGTCAGCTTCTTCACAGATTGAAATTCATTTTATATTTTAAATGTGTAAATAGGATGGACTCAACTAAAACAAATCAATACTACTCATGTCTTCTGTGTGTACATGACTCTCCTGGAATACTGTTCATGTCTTCTGTGTATATGTGACTCTCCTGGAATAATGTTCATGTCTTATGTGTGTATGTGATTCTCCTGGAGTACTGTTCATGTCTTCTGTGTGTATATGATTCTCCTGGAGTACTATTTATGTCTTCTGTATATACATGACTCTCCAGGTATGGGCATTTTATTTTTCCTTGATCAAAATTTGAAAATAAAATTCACTGTTACTACTTAGAACTTCTAAAAGCACTATGTGACTATAGCCATAGAAAAAAATAAATAGGATTTTTACAAGGTTGTATATATTGTTATAGGTAGCTTATACTTGTTTGTATGTGAAGATGACAAGTAGTAATTGCCATATTGCTTACATTTGAATTATTGTAGTTAATTGTTAAATGATATACAAATTTGTGTGTTCCTATTGTGCATTTTATCAGGGACTAATTTCCCCCATTCCCAAAGCAACTAAAAGACACATCATCATTTACATTTATAAATAATGAATATAAAATAATGTGATCATTTCTTTTTTTTATTTTAGCTATTAATTATTTTGTGTGTATAGGGGTTTTTCCTGCATGTATGTTTGTGCAGCATGTGTGCTCAGTGAACCCAGAGGCCAGAAGAGAGTATTGGATCCCCTGGAATTAGACTTAGAAAGGGTTGTGAGCCTCCATTGGGTGCCAAAACTCAAACCCAGGTCCTCCAGAAGAAGTCAGTGTTCTTAACTGCCAAACCATCTCTCCAGCTCCAAAACAGTGTTTTAAATTTTCTTATTTGTGTGTGTGTGTGTGTGTGTGTGTGTGTGTGTGTGTGTGTGTTTGTCCAAAAGCTCAAGTGTGGCATTAGTTCTCTCCTCTTATCCTGTGGGTCCTGGGAATAGAACTCATGTCATCAAACCTGTTGACAAATACTTTTTTTAACTTACTGAGTCATCTCAAATGTACAGACATAAATTTTAATTACACTGAGAACTCAGTTAATGAAACTAATAAAGGAAATGATAAGTTAGCAGTGCATGTCACTGGGTTAAAGTTAGCCTGCCTACCAAGCTATATGATAGCTCCATGAGGCTTGTTTGTCCAGATTGGATGGAAGATAAACTAAACTGGGCCCACCAATAGTCAACCATTAGTCTGTGTCCCTCCAAGCAACCTTTCTCCACCTCTTAGTACATTGCCCAATCAAAAGATGAAAGCAACTGGGCATAGTGGTGCATGCCTGTAATTCTATTGCCTGGGAGGCAGATCTCTGGAGTTCCAAGCCAGCTTGGTCTACATAACAGGTTGTAGGCCAGCCAGGGCTACATACATAATGAGACCCTGTCTCAGTACACACACATGCACCAAGAAAAAAGCATATGCTTCTTTAGAAAAAGAGAAGAAAATCCTATTCCCCATGTGCTGATTATTCTGGCTGATGGCCCTCTTACCTTTCTGGCAAAGGTAAGTTGTGAGTAATCTCATCCCTGCACACATCAAGTAAGCATATTCCTTTTTCTGTTTTTCTTAGACTAATTGTTTTATGGCACATTTGGTAATTTTCAATTTTTAAAAAGTAGATTGTTTTACCTTAGCATGTAAGTTAAGGGGTTTCATTATGACATTTTATACATGTTTGTCATTATACTTCATGTCATCTCCCCCACCCCACCACTGCCACCACCACCACCATCACCACCACCACCACCACCACCCCTCTCGCTAGCCTTCTTCTCTGAATCACCCCTCTGCATTCATATCACGTGCATTCCACCATCCTCTCTTTGTTCCCCTTCTGTAAGCTCTCTTATGCTCCACATACATAAAAACACATATTGATTTAAATCTAGATTCTGCATAATCAACAAAAATATGGTATTTGCCTTCATTTTTTTCTGTTTTACATAACCTACAGTTGTATCCATGTTCCTGCAAATGTCACAATTTCATTTTTCTGTATAGCTGATTAAAATTCCATTCTATAGGGGCTTGGAGAAATAGTTTAGCAGTTAAGAGCACTAGCTCCTCTTGCAGAGGATTGGAGTCCAGTTCCTAGCACCCACATAGCAGCTCACAACTGTCCATGTAACTCCGGGCTTCCACGTCGTAGACAAACATGCATGCAAGCAAAAACCTATGTACATAAAATAAAATCTTTAAAATTCCATTGTGCTTATGTACTACATGTTTTATCTACTCATCTGGTTTTTTTTTTGTTTGTTTGTTTGTTTGTTTGTTTGTTTTGATTTTGGGGGTTTGTTTTATCCACTCATCCGTTAATGGACATATAAATTATTTCTACTTTTTAGCTGTTATGAACAGTGCTGTTGTAAGTATGGGTGTGAATGTATCTATGTGGTATGTGGACTTAGAAATCCTTTGGGTATATTCATAGTACAGCAAGTCATGGAGTCGTCTTCTGAGGGACTGCCACACTAGCTTCCATAGTGACCGTGCCAGTGCCAGCTAGGGTCCAAGTGTTCAAACACATGAACCTATGGGGACATTTTTCTTTCAAATCACTACAACCTTCTTGGTTAGATTTCTTACTGGGTATTTGTTATCTTGAAGCTATGTGAATGGGATTTCCGATTTCTTTTTCAGCAAGTTCGTTGTGCATACACACATACGTGCGCGCGCGCGCGCGCACACACACACACACACACACACACACACACACACACAAACGCTACCAATTTTGTGTCCTGCTACTTCACTAAAATTTTGTATCAGATCTGTGAGTTTTCTGGTAGGGTCTTAAGAACCTTAAGTATAAGGTCATGCTATCTATAAGTAGGGGATACATTGACTTCTTTTTGTCCTGTTTGTAATCCTTTTATTTCTATTTGTACTGGTGAAGACTTTAAGCATATATTGAATAAGAATGGAAATAGTGGTCACCTTCATCTCATTCCTGACTTTAAAAACTGCTTTCAGTCTGCCCTGCCTCATTTAGAATCATGTAGTATATATAGATTTATTTGTGGCCTTTATTATGTTATGTTCCTTCTATTCCTAGTTCCCTCAGGGCTTTTATCATGAAGAAGGGATGTTAACTTTGTCAGAGACTTTTCTGCTTCTGTCCTGAAGTATCTCTGTATGTTGTATTACATGGATTGATTTACATATGTTGAACCTTCCTTGCATCCCTGTAATGAAACTAACTTAAAAATAGTGTATGATCATTTGTGTGTGTGTGTGTGTGTGTGAGAGAGAGAGAGAGAGAGAGAGCATGGCCTTGCATATCTAACAAGTGATAGCCAAGGACTGGGCATTGGTGGCACATGCCTTTAATCCCAGCACACAGGAAGCAGAGGCAGGTGGGTCTCTGTGAGTTCAAGACCAGCCTACAAGAGCTAGTTCCAGGACAGGATCCAAAGCCACAGAGGAACCCTGTCTAGAAAAGAAAAAGAAAAAAAGTGGTGGCCAAAGGTGGATGTTGAGTGTCCACCTTATTTTTTGAGGCAGGGTCTCTCTAGTCACTGAGCCCCAGCAACCCACCCACTTCTCTAAAATGGGGGCAACAGACACATGCTGGCCACCACATCAGTTTTTACTTGGGTGATGGAGAGCCTGACTCAAATCCTCATGCTTATGTATCAAGAGCTTTGTGCCAGAGCTATCTCCCCAGCTCCCTTCATGTTTTACTTTAATGCTTTCTGATTATTTATTTTTACGTGTTTGGATGTTTTGTTTGCATGTATATCTGTTGCACTGCTCACTATGTGTGAGCAGTGTCCATGAAGACCAAAAGAGTGCATCAGATCGCAATATCACATTAAAGAAGCTGGGGAGTTTGCTCAGTTGGTAAAGTGCCTTCCATGTAATCCCCAGCCCCCACATAAAAGGCTGGACATCTCATCACATGACTGTCACCCTAGCCTTTGGTTGGGAGAGGCAAAGACAGATAGATCCCTAAAGCTTGTCCAGCCAGCTAGCTGAACCATTGAGCATCACCTTTAATGAGACATCCTGTCTCAAAAAATAAAGATGGAGAGCAACTAAGGCAAGACATTTGACATCAGCATGTGTGCATGCATACATATCCATACAAGTCCATACATGTATGCCCACACACATACAAATCGCAAATAAAAGTTTAGGATCAACAACCATATTCCTGTGTATGGACTAAATGGAACTATGTAAATATGTTTACCATAGAATCAGGCTTTTTAAAAAAGATTTATTTTAGCCAGGTGGTGGTGGTGCATGCTTATAATCCCAGCACTTAGGAGACAGAGGCAGGCAGATCTCTGCATTACAGGTTAGCCTGATCTATAGAGTGAGTCCCAGGACAGCCAGGGCTACACAGAGAAACCCCAACTCAGAAAAACAAAAGTTTCCGTAAGTCAAAGTGAATCAAAAACAACCTAAAAATTGATTAAAATCATTAGCCTAGTAAATATCTTTGTGCATGTAGATATAAATATAAAACCTATTATGCTCTGTTTTGAAACTTTTTCAAATATAATTTATTCATTTTTGTTTTAAGTGCATTGGTGTTTTGCCTGCATGTATGTCTGTGTGAGGATGCCAGATTCCCGGGAACTAGAGTTACAGACAGTTGTGAGTGGCCACGTGGGTGCTGGGTAATGACCTGGGTGCTGTGGAAAAGCAGCCAGTTTTCTTAACCTCTGAGCCATCTCTCTAGATCCCAGTACCAGGCTTTAAAAAATACTCAGTAAATCTTTACCATTATGGGATAGTGGAGACTAAGGGTCTCATTATTTTATAGTTTTGTGTTATATTCAATACTCTGAAAAAACTAAACAATATACTAACTAGTTGTTTCTGGTAGTAACATGAGTATTTCTTTTTCTTCTTAACTTCTATTGTGAGTTTGGAGGACTTTCAGAATGTCATGGGAAATTGTCTTATAATATCTAAACAAAGGAAAACCAGGGTCAGGAACTGTGCTTAATAGCATATGTTAGACAAGCTGAATACGCTTGTTATTCTTCATCTTTGCAAGACACCATGAAGACAAACAATGG